GTTGTCAGCAGTTATACGTGGCTATCTATTGAAAGTTATGACCTTTGTTTTTGTTTTGGTTTATCGGATGAATTTTAGCCAATCTTTATGATTACTTTCTTATTGTTTACTGGTGTTTTGTTAGTAGTTTCTATAGCTACAGGTCAGATGATAGAATTTACAGTGAAAATTCTTCTGCAGCAAAATTTTTTTTTAACTTTTGAGAAGTCGATGATCCTCCAAATTTTGGTTATTAACCCTTTAATACTAATGACTTTGGGGAAGTGACTACGAAGCTTTGTAGGTTGGAGTATGATAGAATAAAGCGAAGGATTCATCAGACGGCTTTTGTTTTTCAAAGTATATCGTTGATAATTTTTTTAAAAAAGCTTATTCTGTTCTTGAACTACCGTTTTTCAGCTCACATTATCTGCGGTTTCTGACTCAGAAATTTGTTGATTTTTAGTTCAGATACTTTCTTTTTTGACTCCCTTTTATTTGCTTGAACACGCAGAAAAGAACTGCTTTTTGATATAACAAAAATATTTGGAATTTGACTTCTATCACATATCTTGTTTTCTGGTGCGTTCAAGTCAATTAATTTAAGGATTTTTGTGGAGTATTGAATCATCTGATCAGCGTATCTGTACTAGCTACATTTTCTTTTCAGATCATTAACTTTAAGCTATTTGGATATTAAATTTTAGCTCTGATCGACATTAATTTAACGTTGACTTGAACTAGTATTATAACTAACATTAACGATTGTTTTTTGTCGTTTAAAACCGGAAAGGAAAAGAATTTATTTTGTCAAAAAAAGTTTTCAAAAATTTGAATTCAATTGAATAAATGGCGTGAAATTCATGTATCGGAAAAATAACGAAAATTTTTCAGTTTTTTGAAATACATTGTAGCTCATAAGCAGTTCGTCTTTTGTGCTTTCTTCCTGAGCTATCTCCTTCTGTTTCATTCCCTCCGTTTTACCAAGCTGTTGGAGTGAAATTGAATTTCTTTATTGTTTGAACCATTTGAAGTTCTCTTTTCATATACTCTGCAGTAATTCACCTGTTACAGCATTTTTAGGTATTGATCGACTTAATTTCTAGTTGATGGTTCTGTCTTCTTTCGGGTTTCCGACTGTGTTAGAATGATTTATTATTGGAAATATTTGTGTAGTTTTTATATTAGGGACCTATTGTCGTGTATCTTTTTCATGCAATTTTTTTGCTCTCAACTTTTTTGTTTGAACCTCTTTTAAATTCAAAAAATTTTTGCTGTTTTGAAAGGATTTTTGCACTTCTTTGAAAAAGTTTTTCTTCTGTCTTCTATCCGAATCTGTTTGAATTTTTTTTAGATTTTATATTGCTTGTACCTTACAACTAAAAGTAGAGGACCGGGATCAAAAATAACTTTTCAAAGGAAGTAAAAACAAAGGTTTTTGATGGTGATTCTTCTGGTGGCAGAACTGCCGTTTATTGCATTTTTAACTATAATTTTAGGGCTGAATAGAAAAGAAAAGATATTTTGTAGTTTGGTCATTTCTTTAAAACCTGGTGTTTGTCATTGTTTTATGTTTACTGACCGTTGGCGAAGATTATGCTTGAAATAAGTTTCTTTATGTTTTGAAGCGGATTGTGATTGGGTTAGCAGACGTGAAAAGTTTTATTACCGAACAAAAGCTTCTCAGAATTGTTAAATGTTTTGGCTTTTTTACGGGAAAACATCTGTTACGCAACTGTCGTTGTTTGCTAATTTCATGTTTTTTCTGCATACATATGAAGGAGACATGCAATTTTTGAAAACTTTAATTGTCGACTGTGGCTGCTAAAATATGTTTTGCTAAAATTAGAACTACATCTTTCAAATTAGAGTGTGGCCCGCTTTCTCCTTTTGTATGCTGAGATTCTTCTGTGGCTTTTAAAAGCCCGGTCACCTTTGATAAGGAGAAAATGACCCTGAAAACGTATTAAAAAGGTGCATTTGAAGCCTTGAAACTAGAAAATTTTTAGGAGCAACGGGATTTATTTTTGCGAGACTGCCATTTGCGTATCACTGTCCGTCTGTTGTAGAAGACTTATTCTTTTATACTCGATTAATATTTTTTGACTTAACCTATTGTTAATATATATGTTCAACTGTGAAGACTATTGTTTGTCTCAGTAGGATTAGCGTAATTGCTTCTCATCTACATTCGCCACAGCATCCAACTTTGCTATTCGTTGTTTATTACAGATTGTCTGTTCACAAATTTAAGGAAGAAGAGGTTGACTATTGGTTAATACCGCTGCATTACCGGGATGTCTGTGGCAGAAAGTTGTGCATCGTCGCCGTCGATGTATGCCAGCGATTCACCATCTCCGGCTCCATCTGCATCTCAGACTCCGCATCATTACAGCAATGGGTTAGTTTTAGTAATTGTAAATAAAAAATTATTTAGACCACTTTCTAGATTTTTGACTGGGTTCTGTTGTTGGAGACCTCGTGGAGACCTAGCCTTAATTCTTGTTGTGGAAGTTAAGGATGGGTTTGTAGCACAGAAGCAGCTTCATATTACTTTCCAATATAGAAATTTCAGGTATCACCACAATGGAAGCATTGAGTTTGCAAATTTTGGAAATCTAGGATCGCAGCAAGGAGGTGATCAGCCCTGAAACTATCTTTTTAAAGAAAGCTTCTGAAATCGTAAAGTGACTCAGTGATTCAGGAAGTTTCATATCCTTGTTTATTTTTTATTTTTGCAGAGGATCATCATAGCTTCATTAAAAGGCCGTTAAACGCCTATATGATCTGGACCGTTGAAGAACGCAAAAAGATCTTGGCTAAAGATCCCAAGATGAAAATGAAT